TTTTTTTTTCGTGAAACATCCACATTGAAACTTGGCAGTGCCAAAGCTCGCTGTCGCAGATGTGGGGCGGTTTTCTCGCAGCGCGATTACGCAATTTCGGGCGCCAATATAGGACTATTACAAGTTGAAATGGCTGGCGCATGAGACAGATATGCACTTTGATCTAACAGAAAATAGCCGACTTCTCATTCCCGTGCCAAATTTATCGGGAAAAAAGTTAAGCCAAATTTGGAAGAATGAACAAGGCATTCCTAAAAAATTTTTAAATTTTGAAATTGGGCTCGAAGGGCCGGCTGATACGTAGGCACCCTTGATTACGATTAGCCAGAGTAAGCTCGTTTATCATCTGGCGCGGCTCTACACTATGACAGATCAAACAGACAATATGTCCAGTTCTTAAAAGAAGCGGTAGCTTTAGTATGAACATAACTTCGGCACCCTACTCTTCATCTTCCAAGCAACCACATTTTACCATTTATTCGTCAACTCTTTTTTCCAAAACCTGTTCTTAACTTTAATTCCAAAAGTAAAGTTTCGTAATTTCCGAAGACTGTTCCTCAATTGCAGTCGCTTTGCAATCGCATTGGTCTCAAATTAGCAGCGCGGACGAGACACATAACATTACTGCTGTTTATTATATGCGCTCCCGTCGCCTACCCACTTAGCAGGATTATTGACTACGTTCTTGGTAGAGAGGTAATATTACCACTTTACATCCTTAATCCATTTTTTGAAAGCTTAAGATGTACTGATGTCGTCAATGCTTGTCATAGTGAAGAGAAGTGAAAATATTTTCAGGTTCGTGAAATTTATTCTGAAGAAAAGTTGAAAACCCTTATCAAAGTGCAGTCCAAAAAAATGGAAGAGGCTGCACAAGGAGGTATAGTCGATACACGAACGATTCTGGCACTCTCTTTGGCTATTAGCAATGCAACAACTAATTGGCTTCAGTCGGATAATCACAGCTAGCTGATAAGAATGCTCCGTTACTAGCAAACCACATATTTAAAAGCTGTCCCTAAACTTTTTTATGCTATCCTAACTGAGTTCCTCCTAATAGAAGATTTTCTTCAGATATTCTTGCTAGAATAGCGGAGTTTCCTAAAAAGACCGTTCAAGATATGATGACTCCAATAGAGGACGCGTTTATAGTGAGTGGCGGTGATACTCTGGATCTGAAAGTGCGCTTTGTTCATTTGCCCGTTTTTTGTCATCGATGTAATCATTTTTGAATTTTTCTCAAAGAGTAGTATATTCAGCGCAATTTTCATGAATTTTTACAATAACAATGGCAGGGCTTATAGCTTCTAGCGGCTATCCTGGAAAAAGGTTACACAAGGATACCGGTATTCGAGGAAAAAAATAAGTCAAACATTAGTACCGTACTCAATGTGAAGGTATGTGACGTCGATACGCAACTGCTGTATAGCAATTTGAGTTTACATATAAAAAGGCTAAAACCAAACTTATGCTTGAGAAGGTTTTCTTTGTTTGAAGCTGAGCCCACAGTTTATCTTAACTGTGTTAACCTAGCATTGGATTCGTTTTTGCAAACACCGATAACACTTTTAGAATATGCTGTCTTTGTACTGAATCATAAATGGTTGTTTAAGAAATATTGAGTGCTTAACTTGTTGCGAATAAAATGCGTTTAGGATCTTGCCACGACCACTATAGATCGCAGATGGAAAGTTCACGAAGTTGTAAGCAGATCTGACGATGCTCGTTCGCAGGTCTCGCTTGGACAAGTACTAAATATATTGCTTGATTGTAAACATTCTAGATGCGGTTTGTTTTGGCAACGCAGAAGGGTGAGGCAGTCATGCAAGAAATGATGAAAGGTTGCCAAAAAACATGCAAGTAATGCGACCAATGCCGAGTATTTTAAGGAGAGCATCACTTATGCGCAGTGATACGCTTCTTGTACGGCCGGTACAAAGTTGTTGGTATAATAACCTTTGAGGATATAATTGAAGAAGTTTTTGGAGAAATAGAAGTGACAGCTTTGTACTTCTTTTTCGAACGAAGAATCTGCTTCTTACGAGAATTCATTTAGGATGATTCTGATAAGCTGTGGAACAGCCGACGCGCAGGAATCCACAAAGATCAACAAACACTTGAGTGGTTCCGCCAAACGGAAGAGGAGAGAGGTTCAGCTCTTCCCGTAAATGCTATGCTGAAGCTTATACAGGTTGAAATAGAATATATATATATATTATATATATATATATATATATATATATATATATATATATATATATATAGCAG